TGTTGAGGATAGGATGTTCGAGGAAAAATCACTCGCGTATAGTCAAATACCGAAAAAAAGAGCAAGATGATTTATTGCTTAGCGTGATATACAGTGCTTCGCGTTCGACTCTCCGATCGGCAGTGAGTCGAAAAACAAGAACCTGAGAAAAATAGCGCAGGGGTGGCAGGGCCGGCATCGGCCGATCAGCGCGTCACCGCGTGACCGTCGCACGGGCCGGACGAGTGGGCCGTGCTCGTCGCGATAGGAGGATGTTTTCGCGTGCCAGTAAGCTGAGTCACGGACTCGCTCCGACATTCCGCCCGCCTCGGCACCGCCGCCTCGGTGCCGAATTTCCTCGATGCACCTGGCTGGACGGGCATCCCTACGCGCAGGGTGTCTCAGACAGAGATGGGGAAGCGGGCACAACTTGGTGATGGGCCGCGTGAATTCTGAGGTTGCGGTGCGGACAGCGGCGACGCGGACCAGGCCGTCGGAGCCGCGATGCACCGCGATGACCCGAGCGAGGGGCCACTTGGACGGAGGGAAGCGCTCGTCCGAGAGGAGGGCGAGGGTTCCCACGTCGATCTGGTGTGAATGATGCTGCCATTTTGACAGGCTTTGGAGTCGGTGGAGGTATTCACTTGACCACCGGCGCCAGAGTCTCTCGAGTATCTGTCGGAGGAGCTGCCATCGCGAGAGTCGATTAAACGGGAGATCCTCGCATGACGGCTCTGGAAGCAGCGCGAGGGGCTCCCCGATCAGGAAATAAGAAGGCGTGAGCGCTGCGATATACGACGAGACGTCTGAGAACGGGCAGAGCGGGCGGGAGTTGAGCACGACCTCCACATGAGGAAGGTCAAGAATTCCTCGTAGGTGAGAATGGTATTGCCCAGCACTCGTCGGATGTGGAACTTTACAGATTTAACGGCCGCCTCCTACTTTTCGCCGAAATGAGGGGCGGCCAGAGGGTTGAAGTGCCACTCCGTGCCGTCCAAGGCCAAGAGGTTGCTCAGCTGTTGCAATTCCGATGATGCAGAGCTGAAGAGCCGCCGGAGCTCATTGTCGGCGCCGACCAGGTTGGTTCCGCAGTCGTTTGTCAAGGAAGCGCAGATGCCGCGGCGGCCGGTGAAGCGCTTGAAGGCGGCGAGGAACTCAGCGGTGGAGTAATCGGCGAACTCGAGGTGTACTGCTGAGGAAGCAAAACAAACGAAAATAATCAGAAATCTCTTGTAGGTACGGCCGCGGAAAGTTTTCAGGGAGAATGGCCCGGCGTAATCAACCGGAATGCAGGAAGGACCTGCACGGAGTCACTCGTGACGAAGGGAGCTGACCCATGAGCTGCACGGCCGTCTCCGCGCGGTATCGAGTGCAGCGTACGCAGCTTCGCACGAAGGCCTGGATCGGGGTTCGCCCACCCAGAATCCAGTACTTGTGTCTCAGCGTAGCCAGCATGAGCTGAGTGCCGCCATGCAGCGTTCGGTGGTGGACGTCTTCCAGGAGCAGGCGCGTGAGTGGAGCGTCCTTAGGCAGGAGGATAGGGTGCGTAGCGTCGGGATCAAGTCCGGCGTTGCGCAGCCAGCCGCCGACACGAAGCGTCCCGCGACTGTCTACAAATGGCGCGAGTCGTAGAAGAGGATGGGAGCGAGGGAGCTCCGAGCCTTGGGCAAGCGTGTGGAATTCCAATGAGAAATACGCTTCCTGAGTTCTGATCACCCAGAACATCTCAGCCGCGTCCAACTCGGCAGGAGTGAGCGAGGACCGAGTGAAGGTCACCTCCTGTTTTTGTAAGATCGAGGCGGCGCGCGAGACCCAGGCCATGACGCAAAGAAGACGTAAGAGTTTGGTAAAGCGGTGCATTAGTTCCTACATGGCCGGGGGCGTGGACACGCAGGCGACACTGACGGGGGCGGCGCGCCGTTCCATGTTGACAGCGAGACTGATAGGCGGTGGAGTCGTGGACCACGACGACGAAGGGCATCGCAGCCACGCGGGGCCGGTCCACCATAGAGGGTGCGAAGCCAAGGTATGCGGCGGAAGACCCCGCGATGCGCAGTCCGCCGGCTTCTCAGCACCGGCCACATGATGCCAAGCTGCGTCACCGGATAAGTCCCTGATGAGCGTGATGCGATTTGAAATGAACTCCTTCCAGGATGAAAGGTGTCCCTGGATCTAGGCGAGGGCGACGCTTGAGTTCACCCATAGATGAGCCGGCACCGCGCTGAAGCCGAGGACTTCTCAGACGCGCGAGAGCAGGCGCGCGAGGAGGACCGCGGATAGCTCTAACCGCGACATCGTCAGCTTCTTTAGAGGGGCGACCTTAGCCTTACTTGTCACCAACGTAACGCGGATGCCGATAGAGGGAGAGATGACGTGGAGATAAAGCACGGCGGCCATGGCGCTCTGAGAGGAGTTAAAGAAGCCGTGGAGTTCCACGGACACCGAGGGAGAATAGCCGATCCATCGCGGAATCGTGATGGAGGACACCGCGCGGAGATCCTCCTCGAAGGCGATCTATCGGGAGGCGAGAGCCGTCGGTAACGCGTCGTCCCAGTTGACGTTGAGTGTCCACTGTGATTGGAGAAAAATGCGAGCGAATATCGTGATCGGTATGATCCACCCGAGAGGATCGAAGAGCTGTGCAGCTCGCGATAGCACCATGCGCTTGGTCCATGAGCTTGGATAGTCGACGTGAGTGAGTTGGAAGATAAACGTGTCCGACGAGCTATTCCAGACGAGGCCGAGCGCGCGGATCAGCGCGAATACTGCGGGACGATGACTCGCCGGTGTGATCGGTGGTGACCTCGGCGAGGATATCTTGGCGGTTGGCCATCCACTTGTAAAGGCGGAATCCGCCCGCCATGAGGAGCTGATTTACCTGCACGGCCTTAGCGCGCGCGAATTCCCGAGAGCACGTCATCGACGTACATGTTTTCGCGAATGACGCGGGTGGCTTCCGGGTATCGGTGGCCGTCGTCGTCGGCCAGCTGCTTAATGACCCTGAGCGCGAGAAAGGGCGCGCACGCCAATCCATAGGTCACAGTGCCGAGTTGGAACTCGCCTGGGACGTCGGTGGTGCTCCACAGAATTCTTTGGAAATCACGATCCTCTGGACGGACGATGATCTGGCGGTACATCTTTTCCACGTCGGCCAGAAAGACGTGAGAGTAGCATCGCCAGCGAAGCAAGATGTCGGCGATGTCGTGTTTCAGCTTCGGCCCAACATGCAGGTGGTCGTTGAGTGTCGTGCTCGCTGAGCTGCGAAGCGAGCCGTTGAACACGACGCAGAGCTTGCTGGTTAAGGCGCCCTTGCGAAGAACGCTGTGGTGCGGCAGAAAGCAGATGCGTGCCGGGCGCACTGAAGAGGCGAGGGCAGGAGCCATGTGGCCGAGAGCCTCGTACTCGCGCATAAAGTCCGTGTAGAGCTGCTTCAGCTCTGGGTCTGCCTCGAATCGCGAGCGCGTCCTGCGAAACGCGTGCACGGCCGCGAAGTATGAGTCGCCGAGTGCCGGCGGGTCCGACTGGAAGGGGAGTCGCACGTATCGGCCCGACGCGGATCGCGAGTGGGTTTGGATGAAGTGGCTTTCACACTGAGCTTCACTTTCGCTTAACGGAGGTGGCCCGTGTAACGGAAACTCCTCCTGAGCCCAGAATCGAGACACGATTTCGTGAAGGTCGAAATCCAGATCTCCAGAAAGCGAGCTGAGCGCGCGGCCCTCCTGAGGGAGGGTCGGACCAGTGATTGGGCCAAAGACGATCCAGCCCAGGGCCGTATGCTGAGCGACCGGCTGACCGACAGCCCCCCAGCGGACGAAGGCGCGGAGTAGCTTCTCGTAGACATCGGCCCCGAGGATCAGGTGCTTCCCGGCTTGGCGAAGTCCGTCGGCGAGGGTTAACCCGTCGATGTGCGCCCATGTCGCGTTCAGCACGGGGCTGGCCGGCAGTCGACCGGTCAGTCGCGGGAGCACGTAGGCGGAGACGCCCACCTCGAACGTTCGAGTCCAGCCGAGAACGGAGTCGTATCGCAAGCACACCTCGAGTCGAATCCGCGGGGCGAAATCCGATGCCCATCACAGGGATGCTGGCTCGCTTGCGGGGCAGCGCCAAGGACTGAGCGAGAGATTCACGGATGAAGGAGAGCTCGGAGCCTTGATCAAGGAGGGCGCGGGCCTCCACCGAGTGCCCGACAGCCGAGATGACACTGACGAACGCGCGCGGTCGCCAAGAGAGTGCGGGGCGGGGCGGCGACGCTGGGTGCGCTGTGCATGGCGATAGCAAGTTGAATGGATGCTGAGAGCCCGAAGAGGCGGAACCGCCCGCCGTAGTCGGTGCCGCTGAGGACGGCGATGCAGTGTGGAGTAGCGTATGATGCTGACCACTGCAAATGCGACAGCGTTTGGCCGATCGACACTCACTCAAACGATGCGGGCCTAGGCAGTTAAAGCACAGTCTTTTCGTGATCACTGTTTCGCGTCGCTCTTCCACGGTTTTCGCGGCGAAATCCAGGCACGCAGCGATGTAGTATGAACCGGCGCACATGAAGCAAACTTGGGCGCCAGGAGCAATGGCGAGAGCGCGGGCTGCAGGCTTTGTGGTCTTGGTGGCCTTGAGCGGCTTCTTGTCGATGTCGCGCAGCCCGATCATCTCGAGGACGCGGATCCGTCCCTCCACAAATTCTTCGAGCGTGGCGAAGGTGGGTAGGTCGGTGGAGTTTCCGAGCTCCAGTTCCCACGCCTCGAGCTCTCGTCGAACCGCCGGGCAGGGATTCCGGGTGGCCGACATTTACGACAAATACGACCATGTGGAGGGGATAGGCTGGTAACGCGCGGCGGCGGCTACGCCACTGCCGTGAGCCGTCACGTGACACTACGTCACGAACGACGTGTCGCTCGGCCAGCCTCGAGCGGTAGAAAAGGACAGATCTGTTGTCCTCTTCTATCGCACGCTATAGCGCTACATGTATGCTTTTCAGGCTTTCAGCAATTTCGAGTCGCCGCGCCGCGATGTGATTGCCGCGCGACTCG